CGCCCGCTGCCAGACCTGTGCTAAAAACAATGCAGCGGTCAGGCCAAACCCGCCCCACAGATTCAGTACACCTTAACTTCTCGAGGATGTGGAAGCTGATTTCACAGAAGTAAAACCATGTCGGGGCTATAAATACCTGCTGGTAGTGATATGCACCTTCTCAGGCTGGGTCTAGGCAGTCCCTACCTGGACTGAAAAGGCTAGGGGAGTGGCAAAGTTTCTATTAAGACAGATCATCCCCAGGTATGGTCTACCACTCTCCTTTGGCATTGACAACGGGCCACGCTTCACTGTGGAGGTCATGTACACACTCACCAAGGCACTGGGAATCAAAGGGAAACTACACACAGCCTACAGCCCACAGAGCTCAGGGAAAGTAGAGCGCATGAACCGGACCCTCAAGAGCACTCTAGCAAAGCTATGGCAGCCTGGCCAGTCTTAAGCCACTGTATCTAATTTTTTGTACAAATATATGACTGGGTATTTGGTAGGGCCCGCGGCCTGGGTGACTACAAGGGCTATTCAAGAACTAGGGAATGGGGCTAGTAGGGTATCAGGCCCCATGGGAGGATATCACTCTAAATCCTCCTGGATTTTTTGGCATAGATCCCCTGGTTATTTATCTGTAGCTGGGAAGGTTTTTGTTTTTGTTTTTTTTTTTTTTTGAAGAGCTATTTGAGATCCGTTATAGGTTCACAGGAGTAGGATTTTTTCCAGGGGACCCTTTGGTTTCCACTGATGGGCCTGGAGAAGGGGTAAGTTTCTGAAGCTACCTACTGGCCAGCTGTTTTTTGTCAGATATCCTTCTGAGTAATCCTAATACTAAGTTTGCTCTATGGTAAACTTGTGAGTCAGAATGTTTAGTTGTACCTCAAAAGGACTAAAGGATGTTGCATACATTATTAAGGGAGACTTACATGTAAAGATGTTCATTAGCTGATCAATATGTTTGACATCCAAGGGAAACTTAGATGTAATGGAATAACATGTTCATTGACTGGACAACCTCAATTACGAAGTTAATTTGGCAAGCTGATCCTAAAATATATATGAAGAGGTCAAGTTGCCAAGGTAATCCCAAAGACATGATGAAAACTGTCAGGAGGCCGGGCGTGGTGACTCACGCTTGTAATCATAGCACACTGGGAGGCCAAGGCAGGCAGATTGCTCGAGGTCAGGAGTTCAAAACCAGGCTGAGTGAGACGCCGTCTTTACCAAAAATAGAAATAAATTAATTGACCAACTAAAAATATACATACAAAAAATTAGCCGGGCATGGTGGCGCATGCCTGTTGTCCTAGCTATTAGGGAGGGAGGCTGAGGCAGTAGGATAGCTTGACAACAGGAGATTGAGGTTGCTGTGAGCTAGGCTGACTCCACAGCACTCACTCCAGCCTGGGCAACAAAGTGAGACTCTTGTCTCAAAAAAAAAACAAAAAAAAAAAACTGTTAGGAGATATTAAGAATAAGAGACTTATAATATTTATAATATTGAGTGTGGTACTGGCTAAAGGATACAACAATAGACCAGTGGGATAGATTACAGATATGAGATGATACAGGTGTCATTAACAATCCATGGAAGAAATGATAGCTTTCCCAATAGACAGTGTTGTGACTCTTGGTTTTTATATATAATTAAAGACAGGCAGGTTCCACTCTATCTGTAAAGACAAAGTTAACTCCAAGTAGATGATTAAATAATTTAGGAGCACACAGAGAATATTTCAATGGCCTTTGTTTAGGGCAGGATTTCTTATAGAATCCAAACTCTAAAGGGAAAGACTGAAAAAAGTCAACTACGCAGGTCAAGCATCCCAAATCTGAAAATCTGAAACTTTTTGAGAGCCGACATGAGGCTCAAAGGAAATGCTCATTTGAGCATTTTGGAGTTTGGATGCTTAAATAATAATTATAATACAAATATTCCAAAATCTGAAAAAAATCTGAAATCTAAAACACTTCTAGTCCCAAGCATTTCAGATAAGGGATAGTCAACCTGCATTAAACTTAAGAACTTTAAGAACACCATACTAAGAGTGAAGTCATAAGCTTGAAGATACCTACAATGAATGTAACTGCCAAAGGAGTAGAATCTAGAAAATATAAAGAGCTCCTATAAATCAGTGAGACAAACAGGCCAACAGAAAAAAAGAAGAGAAAAACAAGAACAGGTATTTCATAGAAGAGAAATAGAAATAATTAATAAACATGTGAAAACACTCATTATAAATCACAGAAATAATTAAAATGAGATAACATTTACTATTTTGCAAATTAGTAACAAGTTTAAAAATCAAATATTGTTAAGGATGAAGAGCAATGAGACCATTTATACATTATGGGTGGAGTGTAAACTGGCTCAACACATTCAAAAGTAATTTGACATTATTCAATAAAGATGAAGATCCAGCAATTCACTCTCCAATGAAACCAGGAAAAATATAATTTTCATGATAGCTCTGCTTGTCAAAGCCCCAAAGTGATTGTTCATGAGAAATAGAATGAATATAAAGTCCAATCTTAAGCAAAAGCATGGATGAATCTCATGAATGTTAATTAAAAAAACAGGCTGAGCACAGTAGGTCACACCTGCAAACCCAGCACTTTGGGAGGCCAAGGAAGGAGGTTCATATAAAAAAATTTAAATACAATATGAAATAATTCAATGTCATTAACTTTAAGATTCAAAAATACATGGAACTAAACAACATACTGTTTAGGGGTACAAGTACACAGGGTAAAAAGCTGAGGAAAAGCAATAGAATATTAAGCTAAGAATGGGGGGTGGGAACTGGATAGGATCAGGAAGTAGAGTTTGGGGTTGGGAAGACGTACAAATGGAACTAAAAGGTGACATTAATGAGACACAACATGTTGTCTTAAAAAAAAAGGTGACATTAATGTTCTATTAAATTCAGTCATGAATACATGGGTGTTGCCTTGTTCATTATGCTCTACACACTTTTATGAAATATTTTGTTAAGTGTATAAATATATAAAGTACCATTGTACATTGCTTGCAAAAGTTAGACATGACAAGTGTTACAGGGAGTGGTTCCGAGGACAAACTGAGTGGCACATGGAGAGTCGGAGAATCAAAGTTTATTTGCCGGCGGGCTCAGAGGGGTCTCACCACCAAATTTTGAGCCTCATCAACCCGATTTTTCCCACTTTTATTAAGTTGCGGTGATCCAAGGGGTGGGGTCTCAGGTGGCTCATGCCCACCAGGTAATATGTTCGTCGATGTATCAGGTAATAGGTTAGTATATTATGTTGATGCACCAGGCAATAGGTTAGTTGAGGCGCCAGGTAACTGGTTAGTATCATGCTGATGCATGTCTTCCGTGAGGGGTGGGGTCTCAGGTGGCTGATGCACCAAGTAATAGATGGGAGTTTTCCTTATCAACCTAAAGAAACATCCATCAGTGAAGAAATAGATAATAGTATATAGTTAGAAAAGTTAGATAATATTGAATTGACAATATTAAATAAAAAACAAATGTACTGCCAAGATGGGAGAATTATCTGAGGCTAGGAGTTTGAGATCAGCCTGAGCAATATAGACCATTTATAGACAACATTTTAAAAATTAGCTGGGTGTGGTGGTACATGCCTGCAGTCCCAGCTACCTGGGAGTTACACTTGAGGCCAAAATTTTGAGGCTGCAGTGAGCTATTATCAGGCCACTGCACTCCAGCCTGGGCAACAGAGTGAGACCCTGTCAAAAAAAAAAAAAAAAAAAAAAAAGCAGTACCATTAATTACATAAATCAACATGTAATGCAAACACATATACACATACATATATAAAGCCTCCAAGAATGACTAACCAAAAATGCAAAAAATACATTTAAAGCATAGCTTTAAATTAAGCTTTTACTTAACAAAGTAAAATGAATGAAGGGAAGGATATAACGTTTCATTGACTGGGAGGCTTGTCCTCGTAAGTATGGTTGATCATGGTACTGAAGATACAAAAA